CCACTGTATATATATATATATATATATATATATATATATATACAGTATACTTGGGTACGGTGAAGGTGAACAGATTTAGCTTGCTGTGCAAAACAGAGCGCTCAAGTTCGAGGATTACATAATCACAAATGTAGTAATGAATGGATAGATTTAAGGCAGGAGATGGGGTGATGGAGGGATGCTGGAAGAGTCATCATGGTAGTGAGGTACGCATCTGTTTATATACTCTTGCATAATGACTGACAGGATCAAATGAACTAGCTCCTCCTCAACCTTGGTTTTAAAACTCCATAAAGTAAATCTTCTTGTGGAATACTCAGAATGATAAAGATACCAGTCTGCCATCTGGATTTTTTCCCATTCAGCAAAAGCAATGATATTAGTTACATATTAATAGATCCTGTAGTAAATATGGTAGCTTACAGTAGTTGTAAAAGCAAAGCTTGGGACACGTGTTCCTGAATCATGTTACACAACATCATCCTTGGAACGAGTTCCAAAATATGTTACATTAATATCAGCCAAATGTATTGAACTTTTTCCACATAATTTCTGAAACAGTAAGATGACTAATCCGAGACGTTGTGTACCACTGTCAGTCTTTCAATGGTGACAAATTACAGTCTTAAAACATCCTGACGCATTCAGTTTAATCGTCACAAGGGAAACCTCCAGACAGACTCCAGACTCACTCGTGTAAACAGGATGTCCTTTTATTTTCCGCTTGATTGCCTGCCTAAAGTGTTTCACAGACCAGGCAGAGCTTTAAGAGACTATCCTACAGGTTTAATTGGAAGTCAGGTTTAATTTAAACTCAGCGTGTTACTCTGGGGGAACCATCCATATTTGACCCAAAGTTGGGTTGAAACAACCCAACATTTTTTAGAGTGTAGCTGAAGATAACTTAAAAAAGTATCTGAAAACAGATGAAATGTTATTTCTCGGTAAATCCTACAAGAGTTTTGTTCTTTTAATCGTCACAAGGGAAACCTCCAGACAGACTCCAGACTCACTCGTGTAAACAGGATGTCCTTTTATTTTCCGCTTGATTGCCTGCCTAAAGTGTTTCACAGACCAGGCAGAGCTTTAAGAGACTATCCTACAGGTTTAATTGGAAGTCAGGTTTAATTTAAACTCAGCGTGTTACTCTGGGGGAAAAACTGCCGCTGATGCTTTGTTCAGCTGTAAAAGAGCTTTTTCAACACAATATCATTAGTGTGTGTAGTGTTTTATTTACTTGTAATTTAATGTTCATTCATGCATCTTAAATACATGAGGGACTAGTGTAATGTAAATGGCCGGGTTTGTGGTTTGTGTATGTTGTGATATTTTATATGTTGATTTTGTTTATTGTGTTATTGATGTTGATGCTGCAGAAACTGTCCTGCGAAGGGACAAATAAAGAGTACTACTACTGTATTACATTTTAAGACATGCAAATGTTTACAAATCGTCTGAGGTTCACAGGATTTATATTTTTATGGATGCAGTTCACAAATAAATGATAATGTTTCTCCATCATCTCCATCAAGTCTATGAGATTGTGTATTAAACGAACCTAGCAAAGGTTCAGACAATTTTGATTCTGACCAGGCAGAACATTTGAACACTGCTGTTCAAAAACGTGCTTTCGAAAGAAATTAATACTTTTATTCAGCAAGAACAGATTCAATTGATAAAAATGGTCAATTGTGACATTTATAATGCTACACAATGTTTCTGTTTAAAAAAAAAATGCTGTTCTTTTGCACGTTCTATTCTTCCTGAAAAAAAAGTATGATGTTTCAGTAAAAAATATGGTAACACTTTATTTCGATAGTCCACTTTAGACATTCTATTAACAGTAAGTAACTTTGCAACTACATGTCAACTAGCAGTTAGTAGAGTATTAGTAGACTGTCTGCTTAATATCTTCTAACACTTTCTTTGTCAACATTCTACAAACCCTAAACCTACTCTAACAGTCTACTCTGTGAGTTAGTAGACATGTAGATGCAAATGAATGAGAATTAGTTGACATGTAGTTGACATGTAGTTACAACGTTACTTATAGTTAGTAGAATGTCTAAAGTGGACTATCGAAATAAAGTGTAACCAAAAAGATTATTAAAGCATAAAAATCAGCACTTTATAGAATGATTTCTGAAGGATCATGTGACACTAAAGACTGGAGTAATGGCTGCTGAAAATTCAGCTTTGATAACAGCAATAAACTACATTTTACAGTATATTTAAATAGAATACAGTTATTTTAAATTGTAACAATATTTCACAGTATTTCTGCTTTCATTGTATTTTGACCAAATAAATGCAGCCTTGGTGAGCTAACTTTTTTTCAAAAACATCAAAAAAAAAGTATTTTTACACAATATGGTGCCCATCTATTTCTTTAGAGTGTGCAAGACTTGATGGAGTGTTTGTATTTTTGGCATGTTCTATTTAGATTTTTAGCAAGAAACATGATCTTTTTTTGGAAACTACACCACCTGTCAAAAGGCATGTTTACTCATTCTTTATTACTACTATGAAGTGAAAATATGAAATAACACAAGTATGGGAATAATGCTGTGACCGAGAAGTGAGGTTCTTGAGGTTCATTCTGTGATACTTATTAAATGGATTTGAAGAAGTTCATACTGTATGCATTAGACACTTATTGGCTGCTTTTCCTTTGCTCCATCTTCTCCAACTCATCCAGACATTTTGATTAATATGCTGTGGGGAATTCCCTGAGAATTAATTACGGCCGCTAACAATGGCGTTTTATTTGCAGGTGCTGTTTGTGTTCTTTTATTTCATTTTGCATTCTGTAAAAAGTAATTTAAGCAACATTAATTGGCTCTAGTTTGTCCAAACTTTTGAACGGTAGTGTAAAATGGGGAAAGATCTCACCTGTTTGGATATTCTTTGATGACTTGGTATATGGTGACCTTGAGTGTGATGTTCTCATATCTGACGTGACTGTGATCCTTATAAATCCTGAACTCGGCGGCGGTCACTGCCTCACCTTCCGGAATCTGAGTCAGGTCGAAACGAAACTCCCTGTAGTGTCGTCTGTGATGGGAGAAATCCTTGTCCCGCTCGACTGCACGGAAACACAAAGCGCACAATGACAAGCTGCACGGGACTCGTTTGTTTCACACTGTAGGACGGAGGAAGACTATCGCACACATGTAAAGTGTCTTTAAAAAGTCATTCATCAAAATCGTCAACATTCCACACCTAATCCAAACATTTGGAGGACCAACAAAAGCAGTATCCAGTCCATTAAAGCAGCCATCTAGGCACAGGTAGCAGCCGCTACACGAGCCCTTCCCTGTATGCTCTGCCCATGATGAATGGGCTGTCAGGTAAGAAAAACAGGCCTTCGCTAATAGCACACTGCATAAGCAGAGGAAAGCCGACGAGACACAAATTTCGAGTGAACAATGTATCACAAGCTTTCTACTCCGATATTCTGACCTCCCAAGATTCCCATTCCTAATCTGCTGCAAATACCATGTGGGTGAGATGTTATCACTGTCAGAAATTTAGTGCTATCTCATAAAAGTGTCCGAAATTGTAGAAACCTTAACGAGCAAACATTTTTGATATATTGGAGGTGCCTAGTAGATAAGGCTTTCTCTATATATCTAGAAACTGCTTTGCCAGATAATGACGAAGCATGGCATTCAGTGTGTTTTAAGCCTTGAACAGGCCTCTGAACATTCAGTACGGCACCAACTGAGCGTGTGAATGATCCTGCTGAAAATATGCCACTCAACCTGATCACACCATCTCTACCAAAAAAAATACAAAAATATATATAACACACAAAAAAGTTATTGTAGTTATTGCTGCAGCTTTTTAATGAATACTGCGTGTTTGCATTAGATAGAGATACGAAAGACATTCTTTTGTAGAACTAAAAATAAATAAATTTGTTTCCTAGAAATTAGTGTCTGTGCTGTTTTGGCAGAAACTATGGTTACGTTTTTGTAAGGCAATAAAGATAAGCACGTTTGACTCTTTGTCTTCTTAGGACTCATTATTACAGAACATTCCTACATAAAACCCGTTTTAATTACAAGAGATGTTTGAGGCGGAAAAAAGCAATGGTATATCGGAAAAGGCTGAAAAAATGTACTTTTACCAACCAGTTAGACATGAAACTGTTGGGTTTGTAAAACTAAACACTGACTGTTGGTATTACTGAACGACAAAATGCAAAGCAACAAAAAGGTTAAAGAAGAATGGGCTTCGTTTTGTGCTAATTCCATGTAGTCTGCAATTCTCATTTCTGAAGCATTGCCTAAAACCTGCATAGAGTGAAATGCAGACATACAGCACTGCTCATGAAGCAGCAGAGCTGAAGTGCGTTTGCTTTGTGGTGCCGGTGAAAGAGCGCAGCTCGGCTTCTCTGATAGTTTATCTACAGTGAAAGTCTGTAGTTACTTAACACGGAGAGGTCAGAGGGCAGGCCACAGTTACACCAGCTGGCCAGACTCAACTTCAGCATCCTGGCTGCTAATTAAGAACAAAGGATGGGGATCTAGTGCTTTCATCAGTGCAATACAGAGATATTATTGAATTAATTCAGTGCATTCATTTCAAGAGATCAATGGAGAAGTTAAAGTACGTTTTGCCTGCATGGCAATTATCCAGCCAAATGCAGGCTTAAGCACAATTCTTCATTTGCGCTTCTCATAGCTGTCGTTTTTTCTTTACTATGAGTGTACGTTTTGATCATTCTACCTTAGACAAGTCGCTTTTTTAAACCCATGAACTACAGCATCGTTGGGTTTTATGACATGCTAGGCTGCAACGTATCCAGGATCCTTTTAGCACTTTAGTCTCGTTGTACATTGAAAGAGCTGCAGCGCTTTGAAAGCAGACGCTGTACATGCCCTCATTCTCCTGAGTGAAAACACATGGAGCGCATTTAAGGTGATGATGGGGGACTCTACCTTAACACACACGTTTATTTACTCTGAGGCCCGAACTGTGTTTTTACTGAACTCCCTTTTGTATTTTTCAGACAAATCCATAAAAACAACAAATCCATACAAGATTTTTGTGATTCATCTGGGTGTAGGATTTTATCCTCTCCATAAACAAAGCAGTGACCTTTAAAGTCATGTCCTTTAATGGAAAAACAAGCAAAAATATGGCTAAACCAGCGTCTAACGCATAAATTAGATTAGCAAAGAAAGAAAAAAAGGCTAGCTACTGGCACCAGATTACCAGATTTAGACCAAAAGCAGACTTTCTTTAAGTTCTTTCCTCTGCTTAACAACAGGAAGTAATTAAGGCAAATTATCCTCAGGTCAGACAGTCACTTGATAAGTTTACATGAACTGTGAGGTGAGAGGTCAGCCACTGAAGTTGTATACAGTTCAGTGTACACTTATCGTCTTATCGCAGCATTCTTCAAATAATGGCAAAAAGCATTTATTACTAACGACAGGATATTAACAAACCCTGCATGTACACGTCCTTCATGATTTGCTTCACTTTTTCTACTCACTTCGCTACGGTATGTGCATGTATGCTTTCTAAGAAGTATATTCTGCTATAATGGCACTCTTTATAGCCACATTTTTATTTTCTCTCTAACCTGCAATTGCCTCAGAGTTTCCAGTAACCATACAGTCCTATATATACACCGTTTATAGAGTTTTCAAGGACAGTGTAAATGTGGAGGACTATATTCCAGTAATATGAAAAATAAATAAATAAATAAAAAATCACCTGCTATTTTAACACTGGATTCAAAAGAAGGCACTATATTTGAAATCAAATAAATGATCTATGGCATAAATATTAATTACTTACAAAGGCACAGACGTTTGCAAGGACCTAGCAATAGTATAAAACTGTTTAATAATAATTATTATTAGCAGACAAACTTGCAAACATAGTCTAATAGAAATGTATAATCACTAAAGTGCAAGACATCATCAAACGGCCTGTTCATAGCATTGTTAAACAATGTACTTACATTCATTGAAAATAGCATTTTTTTCCCCCCAATGAGATGTTTTCGCTTCAATAACCAGAAAATGGACATCATATAAATATATTCTTTTTATTTATTTTGTTTTTGTTAAACAAACCATGTAAGAAGCTTGTTTACTCAGCTCAGCCCTTCTAGACTCCCGTGTGTCTACTAAATTCAATAGGCTATAATTTAACATTTTATAAACTTGGTGAAGCACTAAATCTGTAATATTGTGACAAACGAAACGGTAGCTGGCAATTATCAATAATTACCATTTAAAATCAGGAGCTAGGCTGTAATTGCGTTCCCTCTATAAAAGAGCACATCATTTAAGTTTAAACGTAACGTGTTCTGATGTCTGAGGCCCTTTAGCGCAAACAATATAGGCGTGTTAAAGCATCAAATTGGCATTTCTTAATTTGCATAATTTCGTAAAAACTAAATATAAACAAAAGTTCACATTCTCCCGCAGGAACAAAAAAAAAAGTTCGGTAGGCTATCTCTGAGACCCCAGATATAAAACATGAACAAACGCAATGAATAACATTCTCTGACTGACATAAACTCCGTAGAGATGTAGCCTACGCCAGCTAAATGTTTATTTGTATTTATTTTAATACAGTATGACACCAAATAAAAGCAGTGCCATTATTCTGAAAAGTGCATCAATGTATAGTGATAAATAAAACGGGTACATATCCAATAGACTTTTCCTGCGGTTTAGATTTGACAAATGTGAAATGACACTACAAATATTAATATTTTACACATACAACATTCAGGTGAATTTGAACAGAACACGAGGATTAAATACTGACACACTTTAAGAGAAAACCCTGCCACCCAACTATACGTACCCAGATTGACAAAGCTCATCACCATATCCGCGTCATTGAGAAAGTTGGTGTCTTGCGCGGTGGCCAAAGGCGGGCTCTGACTGGTCAAGGGCGCCGCGCGGTA